ATACCAGGGATCACAGCTTGGAGATACATGTTTGTCTACCATTGTTGAATGGGGTCATTCGATGAGTGAAGAGGAATATGAAAATTCCACAGTGAGCACGAAGGAGTTCATCTGTAATTTTTCAGAGAACTTTGCTATGATTGACACGGAGGTTATGTGCTCAAGGCCCACTGACGAGGACAGTCATGGTCCAATGTTTATTTCACTCAGACCAGCTTCCTTTTCATCTGGAGACAGAAGACAGTATCGCATGGGAGCAACTCTTCATGAGGCGAAACTGCGGAGGAAGGAGAGACAGAAAGAGAATAAAAGGAAAGGTAGGCCGCCAACTTCTGATCAAGCAGCTTCATCGACTGCAGCGGCATGAATTCAGAGCGGAGGCTAACTTTTAATGATAGCTAGGAAGTGAAGATACTTCTGATTACAGTTGATACTTTGCTTCCAAGCTTGACTTTAAGTTGCCAGGCTAAAGTTTTAATGAACTCTGGTTTGCAACAAGGAGAAACTTTTTGTCAAAGAAGATACTCCTGCATTCCAGGTTTATACGCTTTAGCATGCAGATAGGTATGGACAGTTTTGCATAACTGATGATATCTATCACAGCCGCTTTTTCTGAGGTGACCTCTAATGGACAACCATTCATGGTTGATGATTAAGTCATTTCATAAGTTTGCATTTGTAGTGCAAGTTTTGTACATACATTTGCCGGTGTCTCCTTCCTTTTTGTTTTTGGTGTCAATGAGAAAGAGTCCTTTTGATGCAGTGTATGGAAGCGGCCGAGACCACTTGTAGAGAAGAACATTCCTCGGGCCGAGAGTTGACGCTCCTTGCATTTTGCAAGGCATCCTAATTCATTGCAATTTGTGCGGTCTTGAATTTTTAGTTCTTCGTTACGCGAGTGTCGTTTACTGCTTTTACAGGTCTCTGTGTAAGAAAGCCGCTTTCCCTTGAATTTAAGTTTCTTTTAAGCTCTAGCTTTTCAAGGGCTATTGAGCGCCGGTATACGGTATCTTCGCCGGTTGAACAATACAGTCTCCAGCCGAGATACATCGTCGTTGACCTTGTAGTTGAGGTGAGTCAGCTATTGCTCCCTCACTGTATTTAGTAGACCTTGAGATTACCTTTTCTATAGTATGAAACATACTAGAATTGGTAAGTACAAGGCACCGTGGTTTCCTTTTAAGCATTAGAGCTGCTGGACTGCCTTAGCCTTGCGGTAGAAAAGAGTATGCGACATACGCAATAGGCAGGAGTGGACATGAATTTTGTGCCTGTTGAAATGTATAGGCATACTTGTACAGGTTCCACTCCATTGGCCTATCTAGTGTGTCCATGCTTGACTGCCATAAGGCTCAAGAGAAAAAGGATAAGACTCTGCGTGAGCAAAAGACACTAGCGGTCTGCACCTCTACCGTGTACGCCCTAGTCACTCTTTCCCCCCCCCCCTCCCCTCCCCCCCTCCCCGTCCCCTCCCCTCGTCGCCAGCACTACTAAGTTCTGGACATAAGGTGAAGTCATGCGCTTAACAGTCACAGCAGTACGACGCTGGCCATGAGGTTGCGCAATACAGCACGAACCCTGCGCAACTAGCATTCTGGACACGCCATCGCACCATAAGGTGAAGTCATGCGCTTAGCAATCACAGCAGTACGACGCTGGCCGAACCCTGCGCAATGAGGTCGTGCAATGCAGCTTCGATGCCGCGCGTGCGCGCCCGGCAGCCTAACACAGCGCATACTGCGTTCACAGACCATATTGCTCGACACCAACGAGCATCGATGCAACGCAGCCTTTTTGCAAAGCCCTGTGGAGAAACCCCTCGCGTCGCGGAACACCATTCGACTCAGCCTCATACCCTAGCGTGGCGAAATCTTACCGCATCGTGGAGCACACCCACCATAGTGTGACGTCCATCCCTGTCAGTACCGGCCGCACCCCTCCAGCACTATCCTTACAAGGGGGTTGGTCACTGAGTCACTGCGGCTTCGACGCAACGCGTGCAGGCCTGTAATCCTGACACAGTGCGTGCAGCTGTGGGACCATAGCTGGTACACATGCGAGCGTTTACGCATTGCGACTTTTACGCGCGCCTGTTTTCACACACCTAGACACAAACGAGCGCCGACGCAACGCAGCCTCTCTGCAGAGCCGTGTGGCGCAATTCTGACCGCAACGGAGTTCCTCTTGAGCCTTCTTATGCCTTCTTGTGCTCTCTGGCTTTGTTGGTTTCATCCATGATTGACCAAGGGGCACGTTCCTGAAACACCGGAGACAGTCCCTCACCAGAAAAGGTCCCGACAGCTACTCGGTCCGTCTCTACCTTTCGTGTTTCCACGCTCAAGTCCGTAACACGGAAGTTTTGCACACTAAACTTCCTTTGATCAATGATAATTTTAAGTGTGCAGAACGGTAAAGAAGAAGAAATCGAGTTTCGTCCCAACTTCCGCAGTCAAAATTATTTGTACACTTGCCTTTCCTCACGGCACCCCGCCCCCACTGCTGGAGCTTTATGGAAAACACGCCACCAACTTGAGCGGGGAAACACGAAAGATAGAGACGCACCGGGTAGTTGTCGGGACCTTTTCTGGTGAGGGACTGTCTCCGGTGTTTCAGGAACGTTCGTCAATCGTGGATAAAACCAACAAAGCCAGAGAGCACAAGAAGGCTCAAGAGGAGCACCGTTGCGGTCAGATTGCGCACACGGCTCCGCAGAGAGGCTGTGTTGCGTCGACGCTCGTTTGCGTAAAGGTGTGTGAAAACAGGCGCGCATAAAAGTCGCAATGCGTAAGCTCGCATGTGCACCAGCTATGGTCCCACAGCTGCACGCACTGTGTCAGGACACAGGCCTGCACGCGTTGCGTCGAAGCGGCAGTGACCAACCCCTTGTCAGGACAGTGCTGGAGGGGTGCGGCCGGTACTGCCAGGGATGGACGTTACGCAATGGCGGGTGGCTGATGGGAAGGGTAGCTGTGTAGTGGTGCTCCACGATGCGGTAAGATGTCGCCACGCTAGGGTATAAGGCTGAGTCGAATGGTGCTCCGCGAAGCGAGAGGTTTCTCCACAGGGCTTTGCAGAGAGGCTGTGTTGCATCGATGCTCGTTGGTGTCGAGCAATATGGTCTGTGAACGCAGTACGCGCTGTGTCGGGCTGCCGGGCGCGCACGCGCGGCATCGAAGCCGCATTGCGAAACCTCATTGTGCAGGGTTCGGCCCGCGTCGTACTGCATTGCTAAGCGCATGACTTCACCTTATGGTGCGATGGCGTGTCCAGAATGCTAGTTGTGCTGGCGAGGGGGAGGGGACGGGGAGGGGAGTGCATGGAGGGGGGTGTGATGGGGGGGGCAAAACAATATAACAATTGATTTATCAATGAATCATCACATGGGGGGGGGGGGGGGGGGGGGGGGGGTGTTAGACATTGATCTACCAATCTTTAGTCCCGAGCAGGCTCTCAAGCCAGGGTTTGGAACCGAGCAGGCCAAGAGCCAACAAACATGCACGACTTGGGCCCTCGCTCGCAGTCCCCGGCGAACCGGGGCTCACCCTGACCCCCTTGCAGGTGACCCGGCGAAGCCGGGTTGTGGCCGCCTCTTCGGCAGCTACGGGATCACCGGGCCATGTGCCCCCGATCAGTCCTCCTTGCCCCCCCGGCGCCGATCCTCGAACAAACCTGGGTGCGGGTGAGTCGGGAAGCCTTCGACGGGAATGGGCGGGTCGTTGCTCGACAATGGCTTGCCCACACCAGCACGCTTGGGGTCAGCCAGGGCGACCGCCGCCGCCTTGACTTCGTCGCCTACGGCGCCACCCGCCTTGGCAAAGCTCTGTGCTGCGACGTCACCTGGTGTCCCCCCTCCGCGTGGATCGGGCGCCGTCCGTGTACAAGGCCGTTGGCTCTTCGTAGCGCAGACACTGTTGCGGGAGAGAAAACTAAGGCTAAGGTCCGGTGCCACCACCCGCATCAACCCATGGTGTATCGCTGCCGCTTTCGCAATCCCACCTTGGGCCATCGGCCGCTGGGCTGTTCTTGTTCTGCTCCGAAGCCTCCGGAGGGCCACCTTCTGAATCCGGTGGGTTGGTGAGTGCAGCGATTTATTTTCAATTTCCGTTGTTCCTGTTGCAGCGCGATATGTGTTAGCTTGATTGTGTGCTGCAGACCACCATGTATCACTTTTGTTAGTGGGTGTTAGTTTTCCATCGGTCTTTCAGGCCACCTTGTCAGACCATTCTTTTTCACTGGAGGTTTCACCCACCTCCAGATACTCCGCAGCTTACTCCGTTGCTGCCGAACCGCCCCGTCGGCGCACACCAGCTCATCCAGTTTCGCCTCCCGGTTTTTCGCAATGTGCTGCAGCAAAAAGCAGTATAGCACACAATTGACACAATTTTGTCATCAACCCCAATGACATAATGAAACTCTCACTCTGAAAATGATCCAGCGCACCCAGGAACCAGCCCGACCATCAAGCTCTTTCGTGCCCGACCATGGCAGCATAAACTCAGCAGAACAAGTGCTGCCGTGAACGCCCGGCATTCTGTTTCAATCCGGCCCTGAAAGCATAGTCCTCCGCAACAGCTTTGGGCACCCCACAAAATGGTTTCCGGTACTGCATGTATATAAAATACAACACACAAAAAAACAATCCTTTGACAGCGCTCTTGTGTATCACAGTTCTTATGCCGTTTTGCCCTTCATCGCCCAATTGAACTACACGTATCGGGGTGTCAGTCCAAGAACGTTGGGTGTATAATGTGGCGCGCAATCATGAACTGCGCCTTCGGCATGCTGTGTTCTTGGCGGCATTTTTGCCTCGGGATGCAAGGAGTCAGGGAGGTTCCGTTTCAAGGCCTGCACCGGTCATTTTGGCCACATAGAAACCAGGCGTAGTTAGCCAGAGAATAGGTTGGCCAACCATGGCTTTGCCAGGCTGGGCGTGGGGCTGGTCAAAGAGACAAACCTAACATATTTTCCATAGTTTCTCCTGTGTTCGAGCCTGGGCAGGCATGGATCAGTTGTCCCAACGGGACCAGATGCAGGTGATGCAAGCCCTCAACGAGATGCAAATGCAGGAGAAGTGTTAGAAAGTGCAAGCACGTTGCCAGCTTGAATGGAATGTTGTTCTTATTTGATGGCGTTGGCAGGAGATGATGAACACATACAACAACTTGGTGGAGAAGTGCTTCAATGAATGCATCACAAGCTTCCGCACAAAGGCCGTAGAATCAGATTGTTTTGCGGCGATGGTGTGCAATACATTTGTACTAACATTCTGGCTGCAGGCTTTGGAAGGTTCTGAGGAGCAATGCGTTACCAGGTGTGTGTGCATCTCAGACGGGTTGCCGCCACCAGCAAAATGAGTTCCCATCAACCACTTCATGTCACACGAAAAACGCAGAAACCAGAGTGCCCGAGTGATTTTTTTGGAAATCAGTGGTGGGATTTGCCGATGGACTTAGCGGCTTGTAGATGACATGAGAAGACGAGATGGCCTGGGATGTAAAATGGTTGGACACGAACAACGCTCCTGCCAACCACAAAACAATATATTCAGTTCAGAAGGCTAGCTTCATCCACTTACAATTGTTTCACGCGCTTGGCTGCTGTCAGGTACAGAAGTTCATGTCATTCAGCCAGTTGGGGCCACAGTCGGTCTGCTTCCAACTGGTTGCAAATATGCTCGCCAAAAATCGCGCTCAAGAAACAGTTGATTCGATGTGGAGGCGTGTGTCCTTGCGCTTTCAAGAGAAGCAGCAGCAGATGCAGTTGCAGCAGCAGCACGGCTAATTTGGTTTCCTTGCGGTTTCGTTCGATCATCGTTGATTGTTTGAATGCTGGTGTATTTGCTCAGGAAGCCTTCCTGATGCCGCGAACTGGCTCAATATCGGTGAAAATTGAGTGCTTCCAGCCTACAGAGCCAATTTTGTTGGTATTGCAGAATTTGTGTAACATCGGTGGACTGCAGATTGAACCAGCACGCTACTCAGTGCTCAGTGCTCCATCGTCTCAGCTGTCCAAATTCATATAAATCAGGATCGTGTGAGGATCCAAATCTTTGCTCATTGTGGCAATTCTGATGCAAAGGGAAAGGCGTCAAAAGCGACATGAACTGCAAGAATAAGCACGCTATTTGCGTCGTTCACCTGCTTTTTTGGGTTCAAGATCTGTGCCGAATAGAGGCGGCGCTGCCATGACCTCGGAATGATTCTGTCCATTCCCGTGAGGTCATCTCCATATCAAGTTCTGGAGGGGTGGTTGTTTCATTTACCGGACTGGTCAGAACTTAGGCTTGCTCCTGGAAATCCCGCCCGAAGTGCAAGCACCTTCCATATAAAGCTCAATGCTTGAACTTTGGCTGCACCAAGAAAATTCTGTGACTGTCCGCTGCGCCGCCAGCCTGCATCAAGGTACAGAAATTGCTTTTGGCCCTCATTTGTGCGGCCGCTTTGGACGCTGATGATTGTGAGAGTGAGGAAGTTTCGCTGCTATTTTGCAAATGTCTCCAAACGCTATCAAGATAAAAACCGGCTTGAACTGTTGCGGGTTGAAGAAATTTGTTGGTCAGGCAAGTGCAGGCTGGGATGACTGGTAATTAGTGTTGGAGTCTACAAATGAAGACGGCCTACTTTGTAGTCTTCAATTGGCCTCCAACTTAATCTGATCGAAGACTGTATGATGGCATGTGACCAGGAGGAGGCAAAGCTGTTGGACGTGCAGCTGCTCCAAACATCCTTGCAGTTCTCCAGAAAATCCCGGAATGCCACACCCTCGAGCAATTTGAAAGAGCTGGATTGTGCAAATGGAGCTGCACATTTTGTGAATGTGAAACAGAAGTTTGAGTTTGGCCTAGACGATTCGGCCTGAAATAGCCCAAGTATCTGAAGAGGCAGTGCCAGAGGACAGAGCATTCGTGAGATGCCGTGCCAAGAAATCCGCACAATTGTTTGCTCTCATGATTTGGCTGCTTTGCAGGAGCAGTCCCTTTTGCAGACTTCTTTGGAGGCTGGATGTGTTGCGTGTGTAGGCTGGTGGTAGTGCCTGGCACTTTGTAGAATTAGAATGCACGTGCCCAGGTAAGCCTTTTCTCCAATGCATCTTCAGTTTTGGGGGCTGAAGGCAGAAACGTGCACTCCCCAACTCTCCGACTTGAATCTGCTCTATATAGCAAGGTTGGCAGCTACGAAATGAGAGCTGCTTCACAGATGGCTTGTTGCCCATTCCTGGGACCAAGCCGCTCTTGCTACAGCCCGGGCGCCAATTGTTATCTCGCAAAAAGTGTATGGACGATGCGGCACAACTCATCAAACGTTCAAACCGGCTTTGCACATGTACAGAGGCTTGGCACCGTGCACGAACTCACCAACATCAAGGACAAGACGGTCCATAGCACACAGACTTCGTTAGTGCTCTACTTCTTGGATTGGGGGCATCTGAGGCCCAGCGTGCTGTTGAGCAGGGCATGCCTGTCTCACTTGGTAAACCACATAGTAAGAGTAGGAGGTAGATATGGTATATATATATATATACAGTATATTTATATACACATATAGAGGTACTTTATATATATATACTGTAGTTTAGAGCTAGAAAAGGAGGCAATCCATCCTGGCAGCCCCTGCCTTGCGGGAGACAAGAAGCGTGAGGCCGACCCTCATTATGTCATGCTACCTTTGCCTCTACCTCTTCTCTATTGCTGAGGGCTTAGCTTCTGAGAAGAGATGAGGTGAATCATACTTACTTGCTGACAGTCAACCTTGGGAGTGCACAAACATTGAGGTCTCAATCAACTACCACATGACGGTGAGCTCGCAAAAAGCAAAGGAAGATAAACATAAGTTCGAAGTGGTTTCTCAGGAGCTTGTTGCCTTCCACGTTGGTCGGTGTCATTGTCATTGGCAAGCTGGCTGATCGACGATCCTCAGGACAGTTGCTTGGAGGACGAGGTCTACAATAGAAGTCCATTGAGTTGGCTTTGCGTGCCGGTAGCTGAGTGCATTTTTTGGAGTGGGGAATGGTGGGGAGGCACTGTGGTTGCTCATGGCTGAGGTCATGGCTCAATCCCATGGTGGCACGTTTAGGCCGGCCGAAGCCTGTCCATCCAAAGCTCAGCATCAATATTTGGTTTTCAGATTTTCAGTACCTAGCACTCAACTAGCAATGAGTTGGCAGGTTCAAATCATCGCACAAACACTACTCCAACGCACATGCACACACACACACATATATATATACACACAATGTAAAGTCCGATGAAGCTTCAGCAAACTGCCTCCCGCTCATGGCATTTCACAACCCTTGCCCGCACCAAAGCTAGAATGACACATGACGCAGGCTACTTTGAAACCTGAGGCTTTTGGACAGAGACCACGGTTTAACATCGCAGCAAAATCAAGCCAGCAGATACCAACCTGCAGACGATCACAAACGCCTGAGAGGAAAAGCTCACTGATTAGATTGTCGAAGGGAACTTTTTCCCGAGCCAAGTTGGCTCCCAGCAATGTTGAGTGGCGTGTGTGCATTGTTTTGGGGCCTGCCTCAGGGTGCCGAAAGGCTAGGCTTAAATGACTCAGAGCCTGAGATTATGAACCCCGTGTGTGCTCAAAGTGGCTCTGCAGCTGGACTTGGAAGGCTTCTTTTGTGGGGTGGTTGCTGCAGTTGCTCTGGTGCGAGCATGCTCAGCCCCGAATCACTGGTGCGCTCTATTATATTTAGACAGACATAATATACTTTACAGCATGCACGCAAATCTTGGGCCATGCTGCAGCAATGCAATCTTCCAGGTGCCTCCTGGAGCAGCGCAATGTCCAAATGCAATCCAGAGGATTTGGCTCCGTTGAATCCGCCTGAATTCCAGGCCATGAGCCACCATGAGCCTAAAAATGCTGAAGCTGATGGTCTCGTTTGGCACCTGAGGCATACCATGCAGGCAATCGCTTTGAAGACCTATGGAACGAGGAGGTCGCAAAGTTTGGTGACCAGGCACCGCGCTACGCCACAACTTGTTTCAGTGCGATTATGGGCCATTCATCCAACACGGGAGGCAAGCTTTGTCATGGTGATGATTCGGCTTTGGACATTCAAACGTATTGTGACTTGGGCTGTTTTGCACCCTTGTCTCTTGTTGGTATTTTCGAGTTTGGAAATTGGCATTGCTCGAATTTGAGCCGTGCGGCCAAACATTTCTTCCATTAGTCATTAGTTATGCAAATAGGCTCAAATAGGTGTCCTCAAGTTTTTGAAGTGCAGGCCAGGCTTTAAACTTTGTCAGTGTCCTGACAGGCACCCGCCTGCAACAAAAGGGAAAAATGCGTGGGGCAGGTTTGGCTTGTGATGATACTGAGGCCCTGTTTCAGCTCCTCCTGTTCATCCATGTTGTCGTGGGCAGCACGCCTGCAACCAATCAGCTTTTGTCACTGCCAGCGTGCTTAAAAGAGATCACCACTTGACTTGGAATGTTGGGTCAAGCTTGCACGTCAAAAGCATTGTTGTGCTGTAATACCAAGGAAACGTGTACCAGGTGTTCCTAATTCAGCATTCTTTGAATTACTTTTTTTGGCTGCAGACGCACGTCGTTGCCCCAGACTCTGGAATGGCTACTGATACTAGCATCACTGTCACAGCGGGAATTCTGTCATGCTCTCCCATGGAACGTCGCGTGCTCCCCCCCAAACAAACCTTTGCGCCCAGACTTAGGTGAGAGAAAACGGAGGGCAGTTGCCTGATATGACACAGCCCATTTTGTTCTCTATTGAAGCTCGGTCTGACAAATCTGATGCATCAGTGTGGTTTGTTTCCAGGATTTTTTGTTGTTTTCTTTCTTTACCAATCTATTGAAGCTCGTCCCTTTCCTTCCTAATCCTTTCGCTTCTCTCTTGCTCTCTCTTTCGTTTTCGTTGGATTCACCGTCCTCCTAGAGCCAGTGCAGCCAAGGTTGCATTTTCAGTGCAGCCTTTGGTGAAGCCCTTAGCAAAGACAGATAATAACCTGTCCGAGTTTGGTCCATGCCCGTGTTCTACTTTTTGAGTTGCATTCCACAAGCACATTGCTGTTTGCAAACAACACATGTGCGGCGGCACTTATTTGGTACTAATCTCAAATACATTATCTATTATGTGGGGGCCCAATCTCATTTAATTTAGACTACTTAAGCAGGAGGTCATGTCACAGTATCTCGTTCAGACTACTTTAGTAGCAAATCACACTATCTCGTTCAGACTACTTTAGTGTCATCAAGCAAAAGTATCTCGTTTATGTGGGGGCCCTATCTCGTTCACAAGCGAATACTGATGATAGACAAGCAAATAGAGCGGGCCGTAGACTACTTTAGTAAAGCCTAAAGAAAAGTGGTTGCTGACATGGTAAGACCTGTTATGTAGTACATGTAGGTCTATTTTTGTGACATTCCTTAGTGACATCAGTGCATCAAGCGAGTTGAACTCATGCTCTGCATGTCCTAAGTTGTTCGCCGTACTTTGTTCGTGTCTTGGCTGCATGTCACGTCCTGTCCCGTGATGAAAAACCTCGGGCCCCCCCCTCGCACTTAATGCCAAAGGTCACCCACAAATCCACGCCAGGTATGAGGCAAACCTGTCCATCAAATTTGATCAGAGCACGGCCGGTGTAGTCTTGGCCTCAGTTTGAGCAATTGTGTGCTAGTTAGCCACTTAGTCGTCCATTTTCGGGCGGGTTTGTTTCGCAAAGGGTTCGTTTGCAATGCGTTGTACTTTGAAGAGCTTCTCTGTCATCTCCTTTCCTTTGAGGCCACAACAATGTTTAAGAAAACGCAACGTCTCCCTGCATCCGCGTTGGCCTCTGACACCAAGCAGATCGATGAGAAGCCTGGGGAGCCTGCGCCACCCCCGGCAACGCGGAAGCCGAATGATTCATGGCAGAATCTGAGGGCAAAATGTGGGCATTGGCATAGCAAAGTGAACGTCAGTCCCTTTGCCCATTTTTTGTGTTGAAAGTGGAATGGTTCTGCAGGCAAAATGAAGCACAAGTGTTGCTTGAAATGAGCTCAGGCCATGATGGTCATCAACAATGATTTGATTGCAAACTTTCACGGGCAGTTTGGCTTGGAAGTTGAGAATCGTGATTGAAGTCAAGGTTGCCCTTTTGAGCACAAGCGTGTTCATTCAAACGATAGGTCTAAGATGTGACCAGGGCGCTTGTGATTGATGGAAGTTGGTAGGGTATTCACGAATGAGTTGGTAGAGGTTTGTACAGTTGAGCAGGGTCTTTCTAATCCATTCCCCAGGCTAGTCTTCAGCTTTGCTATGACTGCCAACGCAACCGTGACAGTGGCACTGCTGCTGATAATGATGGCACCTTGCTTTTATTTGGCAATCTGTCCTTTGTTATCACGTCCTCCTGGTTTGTCCGCAATACACTCATGTGCGGCACACAATTGAAAATTTTCATCTGAGGCTGTAAAGCTGCGTTTGGCGACGTTGTTTTGTTTGGCGGTGGCTATTCCAGGCACATGCTTGGTGCCTGAACGTGCGCGAAAGTTCACGGTGTGAATACCACTCTCGGTTTTCCTATGAATGAAGACTCTGAGATTCATGATCGTTGACGTGTTTGACAATTAACTTCTCATTTTTTTGGCATTGCAGCCCTCACCCAAAATGAGAGCAGTTTGACTGCATCCGATGTTTATTGTTGCCCTGCAGCCTTGACGCTGTCCTTGATTCTGAGCGGGGCCATGGGTATCAACATGATGCAGCTGCAAGATGTTATGGACAAAAGCAGCTTGGCTCAGCTTGGATTGTTGGCTGGTGAGATGTGGTGTGGACATGGATGCATATCAGGAATCTACATGATCAGAGAGATCATGAAGGGCATTCGGATAGTGAAGTGCTATGCCTGGGAAGCTGCCATGGAGGCCATTGCAAGATTTTGGTGAACCGTTAAGCTTGATGCAAAAGACGGGAACCACTCAGAGAGGGGGAAGGACATGTCTCCAGACACTGTGCACGGCAACACCGTTTCCCGCCTTTGAATGGAACGTTGACCTAGTAGCGTCCATGCTCCTAGTAGCGATGCCCTTTGCTCCTAGTAGCTTCTTGCTCCTAGAGTAAGGCCAGGAGCCCCTAGTAGCTTCTTGTTACTAGCAGTAAGAATGCTCCTAGTAGCGATGCCATAGCCTCTTGCTCCTAGTAGCAAGGCCAGGAGCCCCTAGTAGCGTCCTTGCTCCTATACAAAAATAGCGGCTTCTTGGCACCTTGGTCACCGCCATAGGATCAGATCAGAAAGCTTCGAACCCGCGAGCTCTCGTTCTTGAACCAATACTTCAAGCTGTGCACCTTGGCGTTGCAACGCGCTCACGCGACTTTTAGAGAGAAGGATAATGAAGATAAATATATAATATATCAATCTACTTGGATAGATGGATAGATAGAGAGAGAATGAGAGATAGAGGAGAGACATAGAGAGACACATAGAATGGTGCAGAGCTACCTGAGCTTGAAAATCTTGAAATCGCCGTTGGAACAGGCAAGTAGACACAGCTCGAAGGCCGACATACATGAGCAAAGATCGGTGACTCGAGGCAGTAACTTCGTGGCGTTGTTCAACATTTTTCCGAGGCATGCTCGGGGCTTTGTTGTTTTGCCTGCAGATTGATACTTTTAGTGAGTTCAGTGTTCAGTGCCTTAAAGGCCTTAGAGTCTGATATTGAAAGCCGCTTCGCAGGGTGTTGACCTGTGCGGGGCTTTATGGCTTCATTCGCCTGCAGCCTGGCTGCACAACCAGGGGCACCAGCTAGCTATTTTGGGTCAAGACTGGTTTCAGATGCTGGTGTAGATCTCTAGATGGCCAGCGCCCAATAGGTCCGACCAGGCTGTTGTTTCGGCTATGTCAATGTGAAACTTGAATTCTTACGAGAATTCCGTGCTTGGCCAGCGAGGTAGGATACACTGTAAGACACGGTTTGCCATGATCAACAATGTCACCAGGTTAAGGAAAGAGTTCGGAAAGAGCCCATGACGGGCCGCACTGATTGCGTGCGAAGCAAACCACACCAATCACTGTGTACGGCCGGACAGTCTTGCCCGTTGAGCACATTGTGCATTGCAAAGCCTTGCCTTTCTTTCAAACAGAGCCCGAGGTACGGACGGCATGATCTGGCATCCATTTTTGCTTGCCTCCAGATCTTGGCATCCCTCCGGCACCCTGGACCAAATCAATGCCTTGATTTTTTGCAACTTTGCTTTCTCTTGTGACGCAAGTTTTGCGCAGGCAAGAAAGTTCCCTCCTATCGAATGGTTTGCAGAAATTGGTCACAATCCGAATCAGCGCTGTTCAGGGCCCAGTGACCTGCACGGAGGGCAACTTGACATGACATCGGCTTTCTTTATGCTTTCATGCTAGCAGCTGCTAGCATTGTTGAGGCCCGGATTCAAGCATTCCTCCACTTGGAAGAAGCACCCGTGTTGCCAGGAGAGGGATCATGTCGCCCCGGCAACCGCTTTTGGCTTTTTCTTTGTGCCCATTGTGTGCTTCAAACAGCATCCGGAGAACAGGAATCAGTGAGCCAAGCTGGGTTGATGTGTGGCCACGCTCTGGAGGTTGGGGTGCAGATGCGTAGTGGCGTAGTACTATGTGTGCAAGTGGGTACTGCCGCCGTTGAGGTTCACCTCGCAGCTTTCAACTGAAAGGCAGCTACAAGTTCAGTCGTGAAACTGAGGCTCCAACAGCCGCTTGGCCAAAGACCAAAAGCACGTTGCTTCGGTTTCTTATACACTCTGGGATCCAAAGCCGCACTCCTATTTCAGGCAGCATAGGTTGTCTCAATCACCTTGTTGCGGCCAATGCTGTATTTACCCAAGTTTTCCGTGGGACTGTGGGTATATATATATAGGTATATAGGTGGCTTGGACCATCAAGAGGCTTAGATATAGACTTAGACTCGAGTGAGTGCAAAGGGCCAACAGTAACACTTGCAGCACGCAGCTGGGGGAGAAAGGTGCTTCACGACATCTCTTTGGAGGTCAAGCCTGGGGCACCTTGGAATGAGAAGCTCACATGGCTCACTGAGCGGTTCCTGTTGTGTTTGAGTTTTCTGGCACTTCAGAGGCTTTGGAGTTGAATGCTGTGCCGACTGAGGAGATGGTTGCAATTGTTGGCTCTGTTGGCTCTGGGCCACTGGGCAGAATAAGGCAGTCACAGCAAGGCATGACAAGCAAGCGATTGTAGCATACCGTAGCTACCTACAGAAAAGTCGGGCCTAGACTTGGCAATGACACCAGTGAAAAAAGATAACATAGAAAGAACTGGGCTGGGTATGTCATGCCTGGTTTCTTCTCGAGTCCATGCACTCCGAAAAACCCAGGAAGAGCACACTTTTGGAGGCTTCGTTGGGAGAGCTTTATCCAGTGGAGGTCAGAGTCCCATTTGGAAAGCCATACTTAAAAACTTAAAGTCAAGAAGCTGCACGTTGCAGTGTGTTTGTCAGCTGGGAGTTTTCACACCACTGACAGTGGGAAATATTTAGTTCTGAGGCAGAACATGCATTTTTATCAAGACCTCATGTGGCCGGATACTGCATGGAGCTCAAAAGTGAGCTTTAGAGACTGCAGGGCTAAAGGGATTTGCGGCGACCTTTTGCGCTGAGGTGCCCAAGTTCCTCACATCGCAGAGGGAACCATCCGAGAAAACATTGTATTTGGCTGCCCCTTTGATGAGGACGGCTTGTGGTTGCACGTCTTTGTGATGATTGTGATGTTTACATTTTGTGAATACCTCTGGAGTTTGGAGCAATGAAACAATGTCAGGCTCGCTACTGGAAGGCCATCTCTGCCTCAGGGTTGGAGAGCGACTTGCGGCTCTTGCCAGGCCAGCAAAACGCCAACAGTTGTGTTTCGGGGAAGTAGGTTGAAGTGGGACGCTCGTACGCCGTCAGGAGGCGATCATGCCTTTATTGGAGCTCGGGGTATCAGCCTGTCTGGAGGTCAAAAGGCCCGGGTGGCTTTGGCACGGGCCGCCTACAATCCAAAGGCGGCACCTTGTCATTCCCTAGCAGAGAATTTGATGATTGTGCTGGGTTGTGCTTGCTTCTCACGAGTCTGGCATGAATGTCAATTCCACTGCTCAAACTGAGGAACTTTTGCTCTTGGACGAAGCTGTGCAGCAATTGTGATAGAATTCATTTCAGTGATTTGTACGATTAGGACCTTAGGAGTAGACTCTATAGACAAATGAGATTTGTATATAATCCTCCATTAGCAGTGTGTCAACGTGTCGGTGGAACACAAGACCAGTCTGAGGACCCTTTCGGGTCTGTAGATGCTCCAACTGGCTCATGGATCTTGGAGGCGGGTCATTGTTTTGGTGCAAGCTTATTTACTTTAAAATATGCTTGACCACTGGGTTTGCTCATAGAATGTGCCTTGTGTGGGGTCCTTGGGATATTCTGGCTCCAGATCAGGAGCTGCTTTGTGGCCCACTGCTCCAAGACCGCGCTCGCATTGTTGCACTGCAGCCCGAGATGGACTCCTGCTCTGAATTGAATAGTCAAGGAAGGCCCTAGACACCAGAGGCACCAAAGACCATTCCACTATTCACTATGCTGCTTGCCACCATCACCGGCACGGATATGCTCAGAATGTGTTTGCTCAACTGGGAAAGAACTTGGGTCTGCGGGTCCCGATGGGGTCTTGGTAGTACTCAAATTGTTTCTGTCACTGCTTAGTGGTCTGCTTGATCCAGACTGAAATGTAGAAGCAGCAGAGGAACGACTGCGCAAATTTGACAAGGTTTATGAGCCTTGGCAGCAAGTCCTTTTGTCCATATCCGGGCGCTTCCTGCAAAGGCGTGCTGTCTTTAAACATCCGATAAAGAAGCAGCAAGCTTTCAAAAGAAACTGGCTGCTGCTGAGGTCATGTCCAATGGGCGCATTGTCACAGGTGGAACGCCATCAGAGGCAGGACACTGAATAGGACTTGACGGAGAAACTACGTACCTCTGAGCGGAAAGACTGTGCACGTTCGTGAGATTTATTGACTATATTGTATTACTTACTATATAACCAAGTGCAGGTTGCTGAAACGGCGGCCACCTTAGCGCTGGCACTGGAAGATTGTACAGCTTACAGGTCCACCTTCCATTCTTCCAAAATGTGCCAAGGAAGAGTTCAAGACGCTGCAGCGCAGCTGCAGTGACGAGGAGGAGGAGGACGCGTTTCCTCTTCTTATTTCTTTGTTAATGTTTTTGTGTCTATTTGGTCAGTGTCATATCTATTTATTCTACAGCATGTTGGCTTGAGTTCTGTTGTTTCGCCATTTTGGCTTCACTGTAGCTAATTACTTAGCACCCAAGTTGCCTCTGACATTGCGACATCCAGTGGAACATGTCCTGCTTTGCTGGGCTTGTCTCAAGCCCTTCGCCCACGGGTGTGAGCGACCGTGGGAAGGGCCGTGGCCGGGTCTATGAAAACATCACCGAGACAGTGGGCAACACGCCCTGCGTAAAGATCTCGGACGCAATTTGCCCCAAAGGGCGGACAATCTACGCCAAGTTGGAATACTTCAACCCACTGAGCTCTGTGAAAGATCGGCTGGCCTGTGCCATCATTGAGGATGCCGAGAGGACTGGGAAGCTGAAGCCTGGGGACACCGTCGTCGAAGCGACTTCTGGGAACACCGGGATTGCAGTGGCCATGCTGTGTGCCCAGCGAGGCTACAAGTGTGTCATTACCATGGCGGAGCCCTTTTCCATTGAACGACGCAAGCTCATGCGATTCCTTGGGGCCAAGGTGCAAGATGGTGCGGTATCACAAGAAAGGGATTAACGGCAGATGTTTCGCACATGTTTGATTTATTGTTTCACCCATCTAGGACCTATTTGCTAACTCTCAACTTACGAATCAGCAAGCTTTGAGAAAGAAATTCATGTCAAAACTGAAAATTGAAGATCGCAACGCAACGGCTTGTGATTGCAGCATCCCAGTTGGTGTGGAGACTTGTCAGCCATAGCCAGGTGATCATCACGCCCAAAGCTGGCAAGGGCAGTGGCATGGTGGCAAAAGCAAAAGAGCTTGCGGAGAAGCATGGTTGGCCTCTCGGCACCAGCATGGCATTCTTTGTCTTATTTCATTCCTGCTCTCTTGGCAAGACTCCCCCGGCGTCAGAAGTGCTTTGTGGTCAGGTTTCTGTGCCGCCAGTTTGAGAACGAGGCCAATGCGAAATTCCATTACGACACCACGGGTCAGGAGACTGAAATTTTTGTGTTTGTGATGTGTCCACCTCTGAGGCAGGTTTAACTAGCAACAGCGTCGGTCCCAGGAGATACTGAACGATTTTGAGGGCATGAAGTTGGATTATTATGTCTTGGGCTATGGCACTGGTGGCACTTTCAGTGGTGCTGGCAAGGCTTTGAAAGAGAAACGTCCAGACATCAAGATCTGCTTGGGTGAGCCTGCAGATGCTCCGCTGGTGGCCTCTGGCCAAAAGAGCGAACGTAATCCTGACGGCTCTGCCACTGGCTCCCACCCAGCCTTCAAGCCACACCCAATCCAAGGATGGACACCGGATTTCATTCCCTTGATCACTGAGGCTGGCATTGCAAGCACTGGTTACGATGAGTTTGTACCAATTCCAGGCGATGCAGCAATCCAAATGTCTCAGCAACTGGCAAAAACCCAGGGAATCTTTACAGGCATCTCGGGAGGTGCATCGATGTATGCGGCTGTTGAGATGGCAAAGAAAGCTCCAGAGGGCTCTGTGCTGGTAGCAATGTTGGCAGACACCGGTGAGCGATATCTCTCAACGCCTTTGTTTGCGTCCATCAGTGCAGACATGAATGAAGAGGAGGTGGAGATTTCAAAGTCGACTCCAAGCTTCCAGCTCTGAGCTGACATAGTATCGCAACCGGCGCAGCGTTTTTGGGTCACCTGACCTGACTGATTGCTCCGCTTCTGTGTTTTTCTCCTTGTTGATTGGTCCTCAGGGCCAGAGATGAAGCTGGGAAAAATGCGAGCTTTCTTTGTCGCAAAATTTGATCTTGGACCAACACGTGTCAAGGGTCTCATGATGTATCAGTCCACCAGAGGGTGTTGTGGGCTTTCAGGAGACAACTGAAATCGCATCCATTGGCACCCAGAAGGAGAAGGGGCAGCAGCGCCCATCCGGCATCTCATCCCAGTTAGTCCCGGCCACAAGCCTGCGCGATAGCCCCTGGAGCTGCAAGATGTCTTGCAACGTTTGCAATGACTTGTCGGCCGCGACTAGGAACAAGGACGCTACTAGGGGCATCGCTACTAGGAGCAAGGACGCTACTAGGGGCTCCTGGCATCGCTACTAGGAGCAAGGATGCTACTGGGAGGAACTTGAAGCAGTGAACCTTGATTTGGTGTTGCGAAAACTGAGGCGAAACTGAAGGCAGGGGGCATGCCAGACAAAGCCAGAGAAATCAGATGAAATCGGTCCTGCCGACATGTTGCGCACAAACCCTGCCAGGTCGACCAAGCTGGGACATGGCCAGCTCCTATATTGCCATTGGAAAATGGCGGAGACTCTGCAAACCAGTTCGGCAAAACACGGAAAGCGGAGCAGCAGCATTTTATTGCTGCAGAGTAGTCGGACCTCATTTTTTCATTGTTATTTTACGGTGTTTTACGCACACTACGCAGAAGACTACCTGCCCAAGTCAAACGGCAGAGAAAAAGCAGCCAAGTGGACCAACATCGCCGCAAAAAAGTAAAATAACAGCGGCAAAGCCTTCAACATAGATCCCACCGGCCCAATCACCTCCAACATACCCCTACGAGAAGCCTCAAGAGAGCCCCAACATTTCACGAAACGTGCCAACATGGAGAATGCACCAAGATCGCCGAAGATTGGCACAAACATGCCCCAAATTTGACCGCCCATTGGAGCAAGCTTTCATAAGACAAAGCAACAAAAACAAGAAAGACAACTGTCAAAACCACCTTTCTTACACTTGTCGGACCTCATTTTTTTAGTGTTTTTACGGCGCTTTGCGCACACTACGCAAAAGACCACCTGCCCAAGTCAAGCAGCAGAGGAAAAGCAGCCAAGTGGACCAACATGGCCGCAAAAAAATAAACATAACAGCAGCAAAGCCTTCAACATAGCCCTGATCTAGACCCCACGGCCCCAATCACTTCCAGCATACCTCCACGAAAAGGCTCAAGAGAGCCCCAACATTGGGCGAAACGTGCCAAGATGGACTTTTGAAAAGGATATGCCCCAGGAATGCACCAAGATCGTCCAAGACTGGTACAAACATGCCCTAATTTTGATCACCGACTACCCACTGGAGCAAGCTTTCATAAGCAAACAAAAGACGAAAATAAAGCTCTCAAAAACATATTCCCTACTACACTTGTCCAAACGTTTGCGATGCTGGTTATGCTCCCAGGGAAGACTGCAGTATTGACATCCTGGGTGTGCTCGTCCGGAGCAAGCTTTCATACGCAAACAAAGGACAAAAAGAAGCTCTCAAAAACACCTTCCTTACACTTGTGGGACTTCATGTTTTAATTGTTTTTTTCTTAATTGTGTTTTATGCACATTGCACTTCAAAGCCTTCGATTGCGGGATAACAAGATACACCTCAAAAATTGCCTCCCGTGCAGGTAAAATGCAACTTTTTGAAGGTAAATAAGCTCAACACAAACCCACCCAAAGCCACTTTTTACTGTAAATTTTACTGTAAATTACAGTGTTTTATGGACCTTCGAACATGCCAAAAAAAGGCCGCACGTTTTGCAAACTCGCCAAATCATTGTTGCAACGTCCAAAGCCAGCACTTTTCCACGGATTTCGACGGATTTCGATGGACTTCGACGGACTTCGACTGCTTTCGACGGTTTTCGACGACGTTTGTTTTTCTGCAACGTCCACTTTTTGCAGCCTCCGTACATTTTTTTTGCTCATTGACATTGTCCAGGCCACCAGAAATGGGTTACCCTTGGTTCTTTGTCTTTGTGAGCCTTGTTGCTAAAAGACTGGCTCCAGGCCCCAATGTGATTTTCGTGTTGTTGGCTTCGTATTTTTGAGCTGGCTTGCCTTGTTTTCGCCTCTTCTCAAGCAGGTTAGCCTTGATCCAGTGCGTTGTCTGCCCAAAAGCGTGGTTTCATACTTTTGGGGTTGCCGTGTCAATTTTCCCAGGTGCTTTCCATTCTTTTCAAAAGGGTTTGCCTTGCTTGTGTCCATTCTGTGCTCTTTGTGTTTTCTTGTGGGCCTTGGTGTCAAAACATTATCATCATAAGTTGATTTGCTTAGTTTCCGTCTTCTGTGCTCTTTGTGCCTTCCATGCACCTCTTAGTGATGCAAGTGGTGCTGTGGAATGCCCTTGACTTTTTTAGCATTTTGTCTATCATTTGTGTATCCGATGCCCTTGTGAAAAGTGTTGACGTGTTTTGTCAAAACACATTGCATTAATGATGCAAAAACATCTTATTTTTTGCTGTATTTTACTGTGTTTCGTTGACTTCAACATATTGCCTCAAGCCTTGCAAACCAGTTCGGAAAAACACGGAAAGCGGAGCAGGAGCTCCACATCCCCAACAGAGCCCACAACATGTTTTGTGAACAATGGGTGAAAATTGCCAATATGATAAGGGAGATGCCCCAAGATAGCCGCAGACTGGCAGCAAAACAACCATGCCTCAACAAAAAGTAACCTTATACTTGTCGGACCTAAGTCTGTCATGGTTTTTACCGCAAAAAAAATAAAATAACAGTAGCAAAACCTTCAGCATAGCAATCACCTCCAACATACCCCCACGAGAAGCCTCAAGAGAGCCCCAGAGCCCCAACATTTGGCGAAACGTGCCAACATGGAGGAGGATATGCCGTAAGAATGCACCAAGATCGCCGAAGATTGGCACAAACATGCCCAAATTTGCTCGCCCATTGGAGCAAGCTTGCGTAAGCAACAAAAACGACAAACAAACACTGTCAAAACCACCTTTCTTACACTTGTCGGACCTCGTTTTTCATAGTTTTATGGTGTTTTGTGCACACTACTATGCAAAAGACAACCTGCCCAAGGGTGAAACATGCTCTAAATTTGATCACCCACTGGAGCAAGCTTTCATAAGCAAACGAAAGCTCTCAAAAACACCTTCCTTACACTTGTCCAAACGTTCGCGATTCTGGCTATGCCGCCTGGGGCATACTGCATTATTGACATCCTGGGTGTGTTCGTCCGGAGCAAGCTTTCATACACAAACAAAACACAAATTCGAAGCTCTCAAAAACGTCTTCCTTACACTTGTCAGACCTCATTTTTCATGGTTTTTACCAGTGTTTTATGCACATTGCCCTTCAAAGCCTTTGAATGCCGGAGAACAAAATAAACCTCAAAAATTGCCTCCCCTGCAGGTAAAATGCAACTTTTTGAAGGTAAATACGCTCTAATTTTTTAATGTAAATTACAGTGTTTTTTTGCACCTTCGAACATGCCCAAAAAAGCCTCCACGGTCTGCAAATCAGCTTGCCCCCCCCCCCCCCCCCCCCCCCCCCTTCCCTTTCGGTAACCCCTTCCCTTTCGGTAATACTTCCAAGCGCTACAGCGCTTTCCGTCATCATGGGGAAGTTATTAAGCTGTGTTGGAGGGAGCTGCCGGTAACATATTGGAAGTTATATATTGTGTATGACATGGAGCCAAAATAAACAATCAATTTCGTTAAGAGTTCGATCCCTGTTTTGAACAGCTCTTGCCTGTAACATTGATTAGGACATATTAGGATAGAGTCATCAAGTCTCCCAAAACGACGAGATGGATTTGTGACTTCACTTTCGCAGCCAGTGACCGGATTCCAAGGAACCTGGGAAATTCCATGATATTCTTCTCCTTGGTGCTCTTCCTCTATTTGTGCCCCAGCTTAGGCTTAGACAGGCACCTGTGGATGAAAACTGGAGGATGTCCATGTCCCTGTATGGCAAGAATTCCCCAGGCTTTGCGACATTTCGCTGGCCAACTGCACAAACGCTTTGGCAATTAATGCTGACGCAGCATCTTGGCTGATATCATGGACTTGCAGATGCTGATCTGGGAAAGCAGATTGAGTATTGTTTCCATGTGTGTGTCCCGCAAATTCGCTCAGCCCACTGGAAAATACTTCAGTGGCTACCTGTCAACGCCTCAGATGGGGAGCTTGACAATTCATGCGCCAAGCTGGCATGTTTTCTGAACAGGTTCTGGCTTGCAGCGGGGACTGTCTTCCTGTACATCGGCTGGTACTTTGGAGCAGGCGCTGGCTGCAGCACCTGAATAAAGAGCTGTGATCAAATTGTGTCACCATGTCCTTGTCCCTCCTGTGAGTCCAAAGGTTCTAGTCTGTTCAGGTGTTTGCTTCTGTCAATGCTTGTGGTGCCCACCATCATAGCCAAGTTACACGAAACGCAACTATGAATTTCGCCAGCCTTTACCCTGCGTATCTCTGCCAAAATCCACAGCGATGTTGTCAAGCGGCTTCTTCATGCTCCGATTGCCACTGGCCTCACCATTACCTTTGAACTTTGGACTGTGAAGACATGTGCAGCTTGGTTGGCTGCCGTTGCTGAGGATCGATTCTTTGACAAGCATCCAGTGGGCCGCATCATGAATCGCATCACAATGGACATGACTACCATTGACCTCTATCTCTTCTTGAAGATTTCTGGGAGTATCATGATCCTCTTTCAGACGCTCAGCTGATTGACACAGACACAGCAAATCAAGCAGGAATCGCACTTCTGACCTCGTCTAAGGACAATGGTCCCACTGGCATACATCCATTCCATTATGCCGCTGTCCATGACTTTCTTGTCGCTCCCCTTCTACTACGTCGTAGCTTCATTGTACACCAGATATCAGAACACTACCGTACCGTTACGGTACTGTTTCAAGACGCAGACCTCCAGAACACAAAGCTATTTATCAGATGTTTCCTGGCAGCACGGAGATCAAGAAGTGACAGGTACTCTCTGCCTCTTCGTAGAAGCCGAGCATCAACAAAAACATTGGCATACATGTTAGTCAAATCCGGAACCTAGAAAAACGCAGGAATTAGCACTGACATAGAACACAAACAGCTTGATCTCAGCAAGATTTGCACTGCCATTTTAGTGCAACAAATATGTTTGCTAAAAGAAACACACTAACATAGAAATATGTGTGTCTGGAGTTCCATGTATAAAGGCCCTTTTGAGTTCTCCACTTCCACGTATATGTGCGGGAGTGTAGTGAGTGCAGGCAACCCACCCAAGCACGAATGCATCATTTCTCGTGAAGCACCTTGAGCTGTCAGGTTATGACCAACACTGTGGTCGTCCGCGGCTTTGGCGAGCAAACTCGCTTGACCCAGGAATACGCTGCCATGACCTCAGGAAACGCTACAAGTTCGAATGAACATCAGGTGCTTGTAGCAGCTCAATCCTGCTAACCTGCTTCCGCGTTTTTGTTCTACAATTGGGTGGAGTTTACTGTATGTGATTTTTATGTTCCGTGAGAGACCTAGACAATCATGTTCTGAGGAAGCTGTCGATTGCTCCTTGAAGGCTCATACGACTCTCACGGGGCAGAATCATTATGAGCTCTATCAGTTACAGTCAAGCTTCACTATTCTGCAAAGCAGGCCGATCTCACAGATGACCGGTTGATGAAGCGCTGGCTTTGCAATCGCGTGAATTACTTGTGGACTTTCTACAATTCCGCCGCTCCAGCTCAAGGATTACAAGCAACGCGTGCGTTCTTGTCTTCTTTTTCCCGTCCTCCTTTCTGCTCCTTTCGACCTTCCTTCCAAAGCGTTAGATACTTTGCTGTCTTGAGAGCAGCTCTTTTCACTGTTCACTCAGGTCACATACATCATCGGCCTTTACAACTGTGCATGGATGGGCCCTGGCACCCTAGGTATTGCTCTGACCAATCTTCTTCTCTTGGAGCCGCTTGGCATAAGGAGAGCTGGTGCCATTGAACCTTTCAGCACAGACAGCGCAGACAGCCTTGGTGTGTTTGTGCAATCCACTCCGATGATCTCTACTGCCTGTCTAAGGTCTATGATTGAACCTAGCCTTGACATGATGGCTGGTGCCCTTTTTGAGCTCATCGCTTTGGCCCGTGTGCACGAGTACACCGAGGCACAATCTTGGAGATGTCTTACAGCAACCATCACCTGTGATTGAGATTTGGGATGATGCATATAGAATGGGCTAACGCTCGGGTGCTGCCGAACTCTGTTTTTGGGCTACTTTAGCTGAAAGCAGAGGAAAGGAGTTTGAACGTCCAATGCTAAGCAATAAACTGGAACATGACCAGGTATATTAAGGTTCAGGGAAAGAGCCGGTCAATTAAATCTGGGACTCAGAGGCATCGCCCAAGTAGCTTGAACCTGCAGAACACACACACTCTGACATTGGTTTTCGGTTAACTCAATTCCCAGGTGGAAAAAGGTGAGAGAACGGCAAGGTGGAGAGTCCGCAAATTGTAAGTGTTTGAACAAAGGTGTCTGCAGAACTCAGCGGTGGCGAAAACGAGCGGCGCGGCGCAGCT